TAAAAGGGATTAAGAAAACGTTACCCAATGATCTTCACTTCAAAACTCACTCCAAACCGCCCTCTCCCGAGCTCTCAATTGATTTTTCCAACTTTTGAAACTCAACCCTCGAAATTCCCTTTTCTGAACAGGTGTTTCCGCTTCTGCGGACAAGGGACCGCTTCTGCGGTCCCGCTTATGCGGTCCCGCTTATGCGGAAAGTGAGCCGCTTCTGCGAATCTCCCTAGAACGGCCACATCCGCTTCTGCGGTCCAGTCAACCGCTTATGCGGTTCCGCTTGTGCCGATTCTCTACTGCTTCTTCGGTTCCAAACAAAAGCCAAATGGCCGCATCTGCGGCTATTTTCTCACAGATGCGAGGCCGCTCCTGCGGAATTTCCTCCGCAGCTGCGACGCCTGGAAACTCTGCCCAAACTGCTTCTGCGATGATCCAGCCGCTTATGCGGCTCCGCTTCTGCGGTTCCCAAGCCGCCAAAGCGAAAATACCAGAAGATGAAAAAAACCAGCGCTGCAACACTTCAATAATCTCCCCGTTAACCACCCGAAATCATCCCGAGGCCCCCGGGACCTCAACCAAAAGCACCAATACCACCTAATGCCTTATTTGAACTTGTACCAATCTTAAAAACACCTAAAACAACGCCGGAAACCCGAATTAATCAAAGATTCAAGCCTAAGAACTTCAAATTCCAACAAAACACGCTTTCAATCAAAAACCTAACCAAACCTCATCCGAATAGCCTGAAATTTTGCACACACATCCCAAATGACATGACGGAGCTACTGCAACTTCCGAAATTCCAATCCGACCCTCGGATCAAAAACTCACTATTGGACCGGAAACTTCAAAAATCCAAACTTCGGCATTTCAAGCCTAAATGAGCTACGAACTTCCAAAATATATTCCGAACGCGCTCCCAACCCCGAAATTGCCTAACGGAGCTAACAGAACCATCGGATTTCCATTCCGAGGTCGTCTTCACACTGCTCTGACTACGGACCATTTCTCAACACTTCAGCTCTTATTTATGGACTAAGTGTCCCAAAACTCTCTGAAACCCAACACCGAACGTCCCGGCAAACCAAAATAGCAGAAATGAACTTAAGGGAAGTAGTTAATAGGGGATCGGGGCGTTAATTCTTAAGACGACCGGCCGGGTCGTCACATCCTCCTACACTTAAACATTCGTTCGTCCTCAAGCGAGCATAGAGAACATACCTGAAGTAGTAAATAGATGAGGGTACTGGCTGCGCACATCCCGCTCGGTCTCCCAAGTCGCCTCCTCGGCCGGCTGACCCCGCCACTGAACCTTCACTGAAGCAATGTTCTTTGACCTCAACTTTCTGATTTGTCTGTCCAATATAGCCATTGGCTCCTCAACATAGGATAGATCCTTGCCCAACTGGACTGAACTGAAATCCAACACGTGAGACGGATCACCGTGATACCTCCGGAGCATCGAAATATGAAATACCAGATGAACTCCGGCCAAACTGGGAGGCAAGGCAAGCTCATAGGCAACTTCCCCAACTCGCCGCAAGATCTCAAAAGGGCCAATAAACCTCGGACTCAGCTTTCCTTTCTTTCCAAATCTCATGATGCCTTTCATAGGCGAGACCCGAAGCAGAACCCGCTTACCAACCATATATGAAACATCACGAACTTTCCTGTCCGCGTAACTCTTCTGTCTGGACTGGGCTGTACGGAGTCTATCCTGAATTGTCTTGACCATTCTCCAACGCATCCTGAACCAACTCTGTGCCCAATAGCCTGGCCTCACCCGGCTCAAACCAACCCACCAGAGATCTACACCTCCTACCATATAAAGCCTCATACGGTGCCATCTGAATGCTGGACTGATAACTATTGTTATAAGCAAGCTCCGCCAATGGCAAGAAATGATCCCAATACCCTCCAAACTCCATCACGCACGCACGGAGCATGTCCTCAAGAATCTGAATAGTGCGCTCGGACTGTCCGTCCGTCTGGGGGTGAAATGCTGTGCTCAACTCCACCCGAGTGCCTAACTCCTGCTGCACAACTCTCCAGAACCGCGGTGTAACCTGAGTACCTCTGNTGGACGCGTACCCACCAGGCATTCTCAAATTCTTTATCCACTCACAAATCTGTTGTTTATCTTGCAAAGTGAATGTATAACTGGCCTTTCGCTTGATGATCTTATTTCTGTTGTTCGATTGTTGTAGGTGCTATTTTGGCCGCCTACAATATTCCTCTAAGTCCATCCGAGCCTTGATGTTATCTTTTGTCTTGTCTTTAACATCCATCACAGTATTGAACAAATTATCAAAATAATTCTTTTCAATATGCATGATATCAAGATTATGCCGAAGAAGATTATGCTTCCAATAAGGTAACTCCCAGAATATGCTCCGTTTCGTCCAATTGTGCACAAATCCATATCCATTTAATCTAGAAGGTGGCTCTTCTTTTACCTTAGGCAAGTCCCTAACCCGCTCCCACACTTCCTCCCCAGATAATATTGGTGGTGGTAAATCATGTTCAGTTTTATTCTTCTTGAATGCATTCCTCATACCCCTAAACTCATGATCAACTGGTAAGAACTGACGGTGATAATCAAACCATGAATTCTTTCCCCCATGTTTTAAAGTGAACGCTTTGGTATTTTCCATACAATAAGGACAAGCTAACTTTCCTGCGGGGAAAACATTTATAGTCCACATCAAAGCAGCACGTAAGTTGAAGTTTTGTTTAGTTGATATGTCATATGTTACAACACCTTCATGCCATAAAATTTGTAATTCATGAATCAAAGGCTGCAAATATACATCAATCAAGCTCTTTGGATTGCGGGGACCAATGATAATGCAAGTTAGGAACAAATATGGACTTGTCATACACATCTCAGGTGGAAGATTATATGGTGTGACAAAGACGGTCCAACATGAATATGGAGTAGCTGAGATAGAAAATGGTGGGAATCCATCAGCACACAAACCCAACCGAATATTCCTTGGTTCATTAGCAAAATCTGGAAACACTCTATCAAAATGCTTCCATGCCTCTCCATCAGATGGATGACAGAGAACATCAGGTGGCCTTTTATTTTTATAGTGCCATCTCATGTGTGGAGCGGAACTCATCGATGCATACAACCTTTTTAGCCTTGGTATAAGAGGTAAATAATGCATAGACTTAACCGCAACCTTATTCCCGCTGGCAAGCTGTTTAAAGCGAGACATCCCACAAAATTTACAGTTCTCTAAGTTTGCATCATCCTTATAATACAACATGCATCCCTTTTCACAACAATCAATTCTCTCTGAAGAAAGCCCTAACTTGGAAGCCAATCTCTTTGCCTTATAGTAATTATCGGGTATGTCTAGGTTGGGATTAAGTTCTTTCATAAGCTNGGTCGGTTATGCCATTATTTGGATCATAGACCTATATATGGTAAAAATACGAAAAGTTAGAAAATAATTATAGTTTGTAAACAACTAGATATTGGTTTGAGTTTATAGTAACGCTTACAAAATCTCTGAACCAATTGCTAAACTGAGTATGAACAGCATCGCATCCTCTCAACCCCACAAACCAACTGTCCGACACATTTAAGACTTTTATTAGTTACATAGTATGATAGATTTATTCATAAAACTCAATAGTATCATTATAAACTTACTTATAATATGGTTGAACTTCTGGGCAATTAATCAGTACATGTGTTGTAGCTGACATTATCTCCATTGGAGTCAGGACTCTTCTTTTAGTACTTTTAGAACCTCGACCTGGTTGATTGAATATTGATATTGGCGGGGCCAGAGGATCATTCCCGTCTTCGTCGTGTCGATTTGGCCTATTTCTCGAACACGTCACGTGTTTCTCAAAATAATAAGAACAGAAGTGAGATGTTTCCTCAACGAGATAGGCTTCGCATATAGATCCTTCAACCCTATTCTTCTGCTTCACAAACCGTTTACACTTGCCAATTTTCCTACATAATATATAGTTAGATAAGAACTTAAAAAATTATTATAAATTCAAAAATTAAATAATAACTTATTGCCATTACCTCTCGTAGGGATACATCCATCTATATTGAGCCGACCCTCCAAGTAACACCTCATGTACAAGGTGAATTGGAAGATGTTCCATCACATCAAAAAAACCACATGGAAAAAATTTCTCCAACTTACTTGTGGTTACAGGAATGTTCTGATTCATACGAAGTAGAGTATCTTTCTTCAACGTGTTGGAACACAACTCTTTGAACGTAAACNAGACTCCTGGTCTGCGGACGCTCGAGAGTGATACGCCTGGGATGAAGTACCTGGATCTGCACATGAAAAACATGCGCAAAAGGGGCATGAGTACACCACTGCGGTACTCAGTAAGTGCCAAGCCTAACCTCGGTCGGGTAGTGACGAGGAAAGTCAGGGCCCCTACTGTAGATAAAATATAATAATAAGCCTTGCAACAGTATGATGTAAACAGAAATAATGAATAAAACTATGAAGTAAGACAAGTTATATGAAGCAGCAATAACACGCAAGAGAATAAGGTAACACAGAGTAAGACAGCTCAATATTAGTACAAACAACGAGGATCTCCCAGGATACCGTCCCGTAGTCCATTTCATCAACTGTCCGAGGAGCCATTCCTCATACCCCTAAACTCATGATCAACTGGTAAGACCTGACGGTGACAATCAAACCATGAATTCTTGCCCCCATGTTTTAAAGTGAACGCTTTGCTATTTTCCATACAATAAGGACAAGCTAACTTTCCTAGCGGTCATCCACCCTGACAAATCCTATATGCGGGGAAATCATTTATAGTCCACATCAAAGCAGAACGTAAGTTGAAGTTTTGTTTAGTTGATATGTCATATGTTACAACTACCTTCATGTCCATAAAATTTGTAATTCATGAATCAAAGGCTGCAAATATACATCAAATCAAGCTCTTTGGAATTTGCGGGGACCAGGGTATAATGCTAAGTTAGGAAACAAATATAGGACTTAGTCAATACACATCTCAGGTGGAAGATTATATGGTGTGACAAAGACGGTCCAACATGAATATGGAGTAGCTGAGATAGAAAATGGTGTGAATCCATCAGCACACAAACCCAACCGAATGTTCCTTGGTTCATTAGCAAAATCTGGAAATATTCTATCAAAATGCTTCCATGCCTCTCCATCAGATGGATGACAGAGAACATCAGGTGGCCTTTTATTTTTATAGTGCCATCTCATGTGTGGAGCGGAACTCATCGATGCATACAACCTTTTTAGCCTTGGTATAAGAGGTAAATAATGCATAGACTTAACCGCAACCTTATTCCCGCTGGCAAGCTGTTTAAAGCGAGACATCCCACAAAATTTACAGTTCTCTAAGTTTGCATCATCCTTATAATACAACATGCATCCCTTTTCACAACAATCAATTCTCTCTGAAGAAAGCCCTAACTTGGAAGCCAATCTCTTTGCCTTATAGTAATTATCGGGTATGTCTAGGTTGGGATTAAGTTCTTTCATAAGCTCAATCATAGAGTTCATGCCCGCTTGAGAAACATTGGCATCTGATTTAATACTTAGTAGTCTAGTCGCTACAGACAACTTAGAGTGCGACATGTCGTTGCAAAGTGGACGACTAGCAGACTCTAACTGTGCATAAAAATGATTTGCCTCTTCATTGGGAGCTTGATCAACATATTGTTGGTTGTCATCCTCATTGTACATTCCAAAAGCATTCATAACCATTTCATATAATCTAGCATCTTGACTACTTTCACCAATATCAAAATTATGGTTATAAATATTACCATCACTATCCTCAGTCTCTCCATGACTAGTCCACACATAGTAATTATCCATAAAGCCCTTACTATATAGATCAGTCTTAACATCCTCTAGTTTCAACCATTTTCTGCACTTGCATTTCGCACAAGGGCACCTAATCATCTCCTTATTTTGGCTAAATGACTTTGCATGATTAATAAACTCATCAACACCTTGTACAAATTCATTTCTTAAACCCCGCCGATTAGGAAGATTCCTATCATACATCCACATACGATGTTCCATCTACATATACAAACAACAAATTTATTATTCTTACTCATTTAATTTTATAACAATTATAACATAAGAAACATAGTTACTCTAAACTAAATAGAAGACTGTTGATTGGACTTATCATGTCATGGTTGTAAAGTAAAAATCATCCCTACAAAAACCAAAAAACAAAAAGAAAGAAGAAGAGGTATGGCTTTAAAATTTTATGAGATAACAAGAAAAAAGAACTAAAAAAGCTTTCCAGAAGTGATACCCTGCTAAATTTAACAAAAAAAGTGCAGAGAACACTAATACACGAAAATAGCTAGTTGGTTAGCAGGCTCCTCAAACATACAGAAGTGAGCAGAACTTGATAGAGGTGTCTACTGTAACCTCAGGAAAGTGGCTTTGCACGAGTTGCTGGCTGTATCACAAATAAATAGCTATGCACCCATACGAAAATATAGATGAGAGGAACCCAAGAGAGACAAGCAACACGACTCATAATGCTGTCAACGTACCGAGAACTAGAATGTAAAGTCTAAGTATATCTGGACAGTGGACAAGCCATTAGCAGCGAGTTCTAACTTAGCAGTTAATGATCTGATGATAGTAACCAAGACACTATTTATGTTTTTGATAAGTCAAATAATTACCAAGACATTGTTTTGTTCAGCGTTCAGATTGTTATGTTTATAACTATGAATGGTAAGTTGTCAAAGAATTGCTGGTGACTTAATTATTGAGAACTCTTAACCACAAAATTCCCATGGGAAATGCATGTTAACAGGTATAGTAAGTTGTGGATAAGAGACACCAAATATTTCAAAAGTTTCGGTTCCAAACAAATTGCCTATGTGCCAGTAAGAGAAAAATGACACATGAGACTTTGAGTAATGCCTGAAATTCTGACAAATAGAATTTGGTCTACAAAACAGTATAGTTAAAAGGAATAATAGAAGAATCTTGTGCGAATACAATAATTAATTTTATCAAACTACATTATAAAAAACGTTGAAGTGCTAGAAGTATAAATTATACTAACCTCAGCTGCTATCTTTTTTTGTGTGTCTAAGATAGCCATGTTTTAGTTACTGTAACGACCCGACCGGTCGTTTTGAGTACTAGCACTCCGTTCAGCAGTCTGAGGCCATGAACAGCTTCATTTCAGGTATTATGACTTGTACGCGTGGTCGGAATTGAATTTCGGGAAGTCCAGAGTTGATTTGGAAAGAGAATTCTTATTTCGGAAGCTTAAAGTTGAAAGAATAAACTAGGATTAGAATTTTGAGTAAACGACCTCGGAATCGGGATCTGAAGGTTCCAGCAGGTTCGTATGATGATTTCGGACTTGGGCGTATGCCCGAATTGGATTTTGGATAACCCGGGAGCGTTTTGGTGCCTATTGTGGAAGTTAGCATTTTGGAAGAAGTTTCTTAAGTTTGGCTTGAGGTGCATTTCAGTGTTATCGATGTCCGTTTGGGATTCCGAATCTGGGAATAGCTCCGTATGGTGATTCTGGAGTTGGGAGCGCGATCGGAAGTGAATTCGGAGGTCCGTAGGTCATTTTGGAGCTATTTGGCTAAAGATAGAAATTTAAAGGTTTTTGAGAAGTTTGACCGAGAGTTTGACTTTTCGATATCGGGGTCGGATTCCGATTCCGAAAGTTGGAGTAGGTCCGTAATGTCGAATATGACTTGTGTGCAAAATTTGAAGTCAATCGGACGTGATTTGATAGGTTTAAACATCGAAAGTAGAAGTTTGAAATTCTAAAGTTCATAAAGCTTAGATTGGAGGTCGATTCGTGGTTTTAGCATTGTTTGATATTATTTGAGGCCTCGAGCAAGTCCGTAATGTGTTTTGGGACTGGTTGGTATGATTGGTTCGGGTCCCGGGGGCCTCGAGTGTGTTTCGGGTTGTATCTCGCTCTTATTTGATGTTTCAACATCGTTTCTTTGGACATAAAGGGTACCATATTAAGAAAATGAGCTCCAAATTAAGTTTTTATTATACCATTAGATCCGTATCATAATTACTGAGCCATATCAAAAAGAATCGTCGAATTAGGACATCGTATGAGGGAGTTATGCTCATTTTCGTGTCGGAAAGAATTGCTGGTTTCTGGTATGAAGAATTGTTCTTCGCGAACGCTAGAGAGGTTCCGCGAACGCGAAGAAGGATTTTTGGGTTGACCGGTCAATGCGAAAAATTTCCTTCGCGAACACGAAGGTCTCCCGCGAAGGCGATGAAGGAATATCGCCTGGTCAGTGTTTTAAACCGAGAATTTTAGTATTTTGGGCATATCTTGAGTTCTAGAGCTCCGTTTGAGGTGATTTTCGCGGCGTTGTTCTCTTCTCAACAAGGGGGTAAATATATGACCTTTATTTTGATGTTTCTCCTTGATAATTTATGTTGGTTTCTATTTTTATCCGTGTTTGGATGGTAGAAATTGGGATTTTGAGCCCCAAAGTTGAAAACTGGTAAATCCTTGATTTGAGGGTCGATTCATGGACGAAATTGGATGAATTTCTGGATATAGACCATATGAGTTATGGGTAATATTTATTTTCAATAATTTTCAGAATCCGGGCACGTTGGTCCGAGGGGCATTTTTATCGACTTTTCAAGCGGAGTTGGGAATTGATATGAATTGAATTGTTATGAGTGTTTGAGCATATATTAATGAGTTTACATAATTGTTGGCTAGTTTTGGAGCATTGTACATCAATTCGAGTCTTCGGAAGGGCGTGGAATGTCGGTTATGGATCTTTGGAGCGAGGTGAGTCTCCTTTCTAACCTTGTAAGAGGGAATTGTCCCCATAGGTGAAATAATTAATTATGTGCTCCTATTTGCGGGGGCTACGTACGCACGACGTGACGAGAGTCCGTGCGTAGCTACTATTATGCTATTATCCGGGTAGTTAGGACCCAAAAGCATGTTATACTTGGATTATTTATGAACCCATTGATAGCTTGAATTGCTTAAATCACATTGAATTAGTAAGTGAATTTCTAAAAGGTTTAAACTTCATTTCTTAAAATTGGTTAAAGGAGAATTGGTTTTAATTGGATAAATATTCCCTGATACGTTCTTAATTGACCGATTGAGCATGTGTACCTGCGTCGCATGCATGATTCGCGAGCAGGGTATGTGTTTATTTATGGAACGGGTCGAACGCCTCGGAAGATTAAATAGATGCATCTATGGTTCGGGCCGTTCGACCCTCGGCAGTGCACAGTTTACATTTCTGTTGGATCGGGTCGTCGCCTCGGTGTGAGTTGCGCATGTTATTTGTCGCTTGAGAATTTTAAACGTGAACATATAAATTGATAAGATAATAAAGAGTAAACCTTGAAAATCCTTGATTATTTGTTGAAGGTGTTTACCTGTATTCCGGCTTCGTGAATTAGAACTGCTATATAAATCCATGATTTCCTCACATGGTTAGTATATTATCAATTGACCCCTAGTAAGTGTCGAAGTTGACCATCTCGTCTCTACTTCTTCGAGATTAGGCGGGATACTCATTCAGTACACGTTGTTTACGTACTCATACTACACTTCTGTGCATTTTTGTTGCACAGCTATATATACCTCTAGCAGTGTCACGGCCCCAGTTCACCCTCCATGAACATGTCGTGATGGCACCTAGTTCCTACAACTAGGTAAGCCTATCAATACGGAAATAACAACTTAACTTGCGAAATGGTTGAATAGATCTAAACATATTAGAATAATAACTGCATATAAGGCCGCTTGGCCTATACAACTCAAAAGAAATGCGGAATTCTACAGCTAAATCCCAAAACCGGAAACTCACGGGAACCACAGGCTAACAGAAACATAGTACGCTGCTCTAACTCCAGAATATCTAAACAACTGAGAGAAAAAGAATAAGCTAAATACTAAAGCTGGATCAGAATAGAGACTCCTGGTCTGCGAACGCGGCAGATATACCTCGAAGTCTCCATGTATCTCCTCGCCTCAAGGATAGTGCGCCTGAGAAGAGGTACCTGGATCTGCACATGAAAAACATGCGCAGGAAGGGCATGAGTACACCACAGCGGTACTCAGTAAGTGCCAAGCCTAACCTCGGTCGGGTAGTGACGAGGAAGATCAGGGCCCTACTGAGATAAATAAATAATAAACGACAGGATAAAGAAACAATATAATGATAGTCTACAGCGAGAATCTAAACAGGATAATAAGGATACAGTAACAGAAAAATAGAAATAAGGCAATCGCAAGGAGATACCGCTCACAACAAGGATGATAACTGGGGATCTCTTGGTATCCCGAGGATCTCTTGGTATCTTCACCATATACACTAGGGATCTCTTGGTATCCTCAATATATAAAAATGTGCCAGGGATCTCTTGGTATCCCGAGGATCTTGGTATCCTCAATATATGCCAGGGATCTCTTGGTATCCCGAGGATCTCTTGGTATCCTCAATATATACCAGGGATCTCATGGTATCCCGAGGATCTCTTGGTATCCTCAATAATATGCCAGGGATCTCTTGGTATCGCGAGGATCTCTTGGTATCTTCAATATAAAAATGTGCCAGGGATCTCTTGGTATCCCGCACCTCAGTCCCGATCGTAAACACGTGCAGGGGATCTCCCGGGATGTCGTCTCGTAGTCCCAAATTTAAACACACAATAACAGCTCAAGAGTATCGGAATAAATGCTCAAGTCATAACAAGTAACAGTAAATTCTAGCCCTACATACTTCAAGAAATACAAACAAAGCAAATTTAAGCAAGTAGGCAGGTAAGTCGACTAAACATGCTTCTCTAAACTAACACAGGCTATAATTGCAAGTAAAATAAAGCAAATAAGAAAGAAACTCAGTCTAAATATTTAAAGTAACGCCGTATTTTTAACAATTAGCTCAAGTACGTGCTCGTCACCTCACGTACAAGGCATTCAATTACCAAATATCATATCCTAAGGGGAAGGTCCCCCACACAAGGTTAGACAAGCCACTTACCTCGAATCGGCTCAATATCAACTAAAAACACGC